TAGTTGCGTGTAGTTTCTATAAAGATTTTCAGATAAGATTAAATGAATAGGATTTTTTTATTAAGATTGCAATCATTATCTGTCATTTTAATAAGAATTTCATAAATATAAGAGTTATATATTATATCGATTAGTTTTAGATTAAATATTTACAAAAAATGTTATATGAAACTTCAGATTATTTTTTAAATTTTAAGCTATATGTTGCTATCTATAGCAAATGGAAATACACTCTATCAATATCATAATCATTATCATAATGGGCGTAATCATTAGTGGCGTAATTAATAAAGTCAATATTTTGTTGTTGTCTTTGAAATTTCCGCATACTTTCTCAACAAGTTATTCCCCCATTTGTACTAGGCTATCTTTTTAATAAATTTCATATTAAGAATATGATAGCTCAACCGCATTCCAAACACCAACCTATGGGCCGTCACAAATCAGTCACTTGCAACTGTTGAGACATGTAGACGCAAATAGCGCTAGATAGGCTGCAATCTCCGCAAACCCAATCAAAACATTGCACACCAAGCTTTGATGTGGAGCCGTCGACCTGGATTGTCAGCTAGAACTTGGCGGAGGACAATTGAAGAGGAGCTAAGAGAAGCCAATTATTCCTTGAATGGCATGTACCGAGAATCAAGTAACAGAATTCGGTACAAAAGGATGATGGAGGCCCTATGCTCCAATGTGAAAATAGGATAAGAGGAGATATTTTTAGCGTAGATTTTGCTCGCCTCTTTTTTTTCCTGCAGGCATGGTTCTAATTGAATGTCTTTTTTATACCAAGTTTAACATCATAAGTAAGTTTCTCGCTTCATAATTTTCTAACTCATAGTTCATAAGATTTAATACATGTTGTAAGTGGGTAAGAAAATTAATACAAATTTACCTATTATTGGCATCATAACGGGCCTCAAACCTATGTGATTCCCAATATTGTTTATATGTTTAATTATAATAATTGTACTAAACATCCAGTGATATAGAAATTTATTTATAACTCAATGCTCTGAAAAGTCTTCAGTCAATTACAACATTTTATTTATTTTAATACCAATAATACCCTAATACCCTGTGAGTACTAAAGAGTTTTTTTAGAATTAATTTCAAGTTTTGTGTTATTAAAACAATCTGTTATAGGCTGGTAACTTATAGACTGTCACATCTTCGCTTTAATTGAGCATATCCAACCTCTCTGATAAAGCAAAATGTATGTTAAATTTCAAAATGTTACGACTATTAGAACCCCAAACAGTCCCAGATTACTGCTTTCTGCACAGTTATTCTTAGCATGGTATGGACAAAATGAAAAATATACGAAATAAGCAATATTAATATAGAACAAGTCTTATACGAAGAAGTCTCATAGGAAAAAGTCTCATAGGAAAAAGTCTCATAGTGAATTGCAAAGATTAATAGGACAAAATTCAAATATTCAGATGACTTTATATTCTGCTACCAAATTTAAATGTTTGTATTAGTTGTAAAGATACTGATTTGACTTAGTTCGTTGTTGTAGGAAGGGTTACTAATGCCTTAAAACGGCTCATGTAATTCTTCATTATATTTTTCACTTCGGATATTTGGAAGTTTTCCTACTGGTCAATTAATTTAATTAAGAATTGGGTTAAGAAGTTTTATACAAGCAAATGATGTTCTTTTACAACTCTTTTATGAAGAAAACAGTATTTTATGTGTAAATCCTATATTAGTGTACATGTTTTATAATATGTATATCATATTTTTGATCTACGTTTGTGTATATATCTATGGTTTTTTTTCATAACTTATATAATTATTTTAAATTTATTATTTAATTTCATATGCGTTATTTTCATTTTGCTATTCTCTTGGGTTATTGGGGTTAACCTATTCAATTAGCAATTTTTCCTTTACAATACTGTATCTTCCAATTGAAAAACTACAACTTCATGTTAAATAAATAAAAAAGATATAAAATTGACTATTATTTTGAATTCAATAAAACGTTATTTTTAAAAGTGAACATTAGAAGAACAACGTTTCATACTTCATCGGCTAAAGTTGGTAGCAGGCACCTTGACATGCGGCAGCTAATTGTATTCGCAACAAAGTTGACAAATGACATTTAATGACAGCGGCACTTTTTGAAGAGTATGAAGAAGAATGCCTGATTGAAAAACCCACTTAAGACAAGCAAAATATTTATATTTTAATTCATAAAAAAATAATAAATAGTAATTCTTTAGATAGTTCAAGCTTGAACGGATAAGCTTATGTCTGCGAAGAATAGAAGGTTCAAATCACAAAATGCACATAAAATGAAAAATTAGACTTATCAAGTCTTATTGAGTGTTTCACAATGGATTGGATTTTTAAAAAATTCTTTTAAAGTAACTACTAAATTTCTCTTCAATGTTAGTTTTTATCTTTTTCCTCATGTCTCCCATCTTAACTCGAAATAATTAAAGCTGTAGATGATTTGTCGACACTTAACTTGTCAATGTAATTTTCGCT